ATTAATGCCAAAAGTGGCGTTGAGAAAAAACGTGCACAAAGTCTATGGGATTTAGGCGACAAAAAGAAGCCAAAAAAAAAAAAAAAATGAGAACAAAAACAAAGGCTTTTCCGCAACTTTGCGGAAAAGCCAAAAAATCAGAACAAAAAGAAAGGCTTTTTCGCAAAATTGCGAAAAAGCCAATTACACAAAAGTGGTTGAAAACGCACAACAAAAGAAACGTATAAACATGTAATTTATATTATTAAAAAATCATGAAGTAGAGGGCATGCACTTTAAATGACAGCTGGAGTGGGCTTCCCAATTGGGAGTTGAACAATAACCAGTAAGACACAACAAATCACAAAGAAAACGATTATGTGGGTCAGGGACCGCAAAAGCGAATCTGATCACTGTTGCTCGGAAGCATGCGGACCCGCACATAATGACAAATGAACAGGACAAAAAAGGCAAACAAATGCACAAGAACAAGATTACAAATGGCAGGGAAATAACACAATAAAGGGAAGCCCGAAGATTAAACTTAAAATTAAGTAAGTTGCGCTATAATATGAGCTGGTCATGGAAGTGTGTCTTGAGACTGGCTAGAAATGAGTTTAGTGAATTTAAGCACTGCAGAATCCCGGATTGAAGTAGGTAAGTGATTCCAGAGTCTAGGAAAGCGACGGGTTGGTGAATGGAATAAAGCATCAGTACGACCAGGAAGATGACGAAATGTGAGGATGTTAGGATGACGTGGATTAATACGAAGGTTCTCATGGACGGATTCACAGTGTACTAGACCGTATAATACCTTGAATACAAATGAGCACAGAATGAAATTTCTTCTGGAAGTGAGCATGGCCCAATTGAGCTGATGGAGTCTTTCCTCATATGACATTTCCCCCCTCCGCTGACCTAGAACAATACGGGTAGCTGTGCGTTGAACACAATCAAGCTTTTGTTGATCAGCGTCCCAAGCAGGTAAGCCATATTCCAAAATAGGAAGGACAAGGGACCGGTACAAGCAAAAGATGGCAGATGGAGAAGCTCCACGTGCTACTGTGCGGATAAAGCCTAAAAGATGGTTAGCTTTGGAAACGATGGTGTTAACATGAGATTTCCAGGTAAGTCTGGAATCAATAACAATGCCAAGATATTGGAATGAGGATGTAGTAGCAAGTGGAGCGTCTCCTAAGATGTAGATCGGGGGTTGGGTATTTCTATTCCTAGTGATATGCATGACTTGGGTTTTACTGGTATTGAATTTCATAGAATGTAAGTTACACCACTCGTTTTAATCGATGTAAATCCTGTTGAAGGATATGCTCGTCAGAGGTAGATCGAATAACACGGTACTTGAGAATGTCATCGGCAAACATAACACAGCTAGATGAGACGGAGTTGGACACATTGTTTATAAATAAATTGAAAAGAAGCGGCCCCATAACACTACCTTGAGGCACACCTGATGTAACATCAGCCCATGGAGAGACGGCGCCCTGAAAGAGAATCCGCTGCCTCCGACCAGTCAGAAAGGACTTAACCCAATGCCACAATAGACCCTGTACATTGTATTCGGTTGCAAGCTTTTCCAACAATGTGTGGTGTGGCATCGTGTCAAATGCTTTTGACATGTCTTTGAGGTAGGTGTTCATCGTCACAGACGTTGTATGCTCTGCGGACGAGGGCTCAGTTGACAGAGGACTTGATTCTTGGGTGGTGGAAAGAGTTGCTGTGCAGGTATCTGTCGGTGTGGGTAGGCTTTGCGGTAGACACTACGAGCAAGACTTCCGTCCGGCTTTCCGGACACCTCAACGTCAAGAAATGCGATTTTGCCATCTCTTTCTTGTTCCATGGTGAACTGGATGCTGCTGTGAAGCTTGTTGAAGTGTTCCAAGAAGAGCTGGAGGGTTGTCTTGCCCGTGTTGCCAGATGACAAAGGTGTCGTCCACGTACCGGAGCCAAACCTTGGGTTGGTGATCTGCTGTTGCGATGGCGGTCTGTTCAAATTCTTCCATGAACAAGTCAGCCAGAACCGGGGATATAGGAGATCCCATGGCGGTTCCAGCCGACTGTTCGAAGAATTTGTCCCGCCACCTGAAGCTGGATGAGTTGATGAGCTGGATGAGATGTTGGGCTTAGCTGGCTTGTGCTTGCGGAGGGCTTCGTTGATCTGCAGGCAGATCTCATTGGCCGCAGATTTGTCGAGGTGGCGGAGGGTAGGTTCTATGCTTTGGATGATCTCTTCGACACAGGATGACTTAGGGACGAGAGCAAAGTTCATACCCAGTGACAGGACCTTTGTCTCTGCGGCAGAGAGAGTACGCTGGCTCGGGTTGACTACGGTTTGTTTGGTGAACGACTCTTGGGAACGGAGTTGATGGGATGCACCGAACATCTCATCGGGTTGGGGGACTGGGGACGTAGGGATATAGAAGATCCCATGTGTAGGGTTTGGGGCAGTAGGCGTGGGGATATAGGAGATCCCATTACCTGGGTACGGCGCTTGGTGATGCGCGCGAATTTCTTGATCTGACGGGCTGCGGGATATTTCGAAGTCGTGGTTTACTGGAAGAACAGGGTAAGTTGCTGAATCTTTTCAAAGTCTGCATGGGAGACACTAGAACTAAGCTGGTCACGGGTGGTGGTGATCTTCCTATCCTAGGATGCAAGGGTCGACCTGGTGGAACCGATGCGGTGGCGGAGTAGAGCAAGACTCGCTCTGTGCAGAATGGAGCGTGACTTCTTGCTGCGAATAGGGTCGTGGAGTCGGAGGCCGGGAGGGATGACGTTGGAATCTCTGCATCTTTTCAGAAAGGCCAAGTTGTTGATGTACTTTGAGCGCTTGATGGAATGGCGCTCGTGCATCTTGACCTTTGCAGGAGTAAGCTCCCCGTAGAGCGAAGTAAGATGAGATTTGAAGGTTTGCATGGTGGAAAGATACTAAGACTTCTTCTCACACCTCACCGTACCCATCCTTATAACATCGCATCATCGTTGGAATCCCTCATTCTCCTGACGACAGGCAGAGCATACTGTTCGAAACGTTGAGTCCCTCTGGTTCTTTTCAGAACCACACATACTCAGAAAAGAGATTTATTCACATGGTGCTACCGCAAACTTATCTTGTCTTAGTATCTTTCCACCATGCAAACCTTCAGATCTCATCGTTTTATGCTCCATCTGTTGTATTTGTATGTTACTATGTTGCATATTGAAATAAAAAGCAAGTATATACATGTAATTCAAACAACTAAACAAACTTTCTTCTTATAATTTTTAAACTTCTGCTCAAAAAAATTCAGGGGAAAGTTGCCAGGAAGTGCCTCAGATTGCACCTCAGTGCAACTAGAATCCAAAATTTTCCCGAGCCCTTTTATTAAGTTGGTCCCGGAACCCACGCCAAAAGGGTTTTGCGGCTGAACCAAACTGCCCCTACGCTATGATTTCACCATGACCATTTCACCATGTTCAATACTGCTTAATATACATAAATATATATAGAAAGATAAGTCGTGTGTACATGTACTTTGCACCACATGAGGAAAAAAAAAAGTTACATATACACTCTGTGTGTCCCCGTCCACAAGGCTCTCGAAATAAATACAAAAAAAAAAATTATAAAAAATTGAAAAACTCTCTTTTTGGCACACAAAGCCCATAATACCAGTGGTAAAAATGCTGCATCAAATGGCTTCAGCTAGCGTTTGAATTTGGGCTAGCTCGAATGGTTTCACACCCCCCCCCCCCCCACTTTCAAAATTGTTCCGCCACCCTTCATGGCCATTCACTCCCCGAACCTGTACATTTTATTTTTCGCGATTGATCTGCATAACTGAGTGAAGTGGCCTGTGTTTGGCCCAATCCATTCCACTCCCATTTTTCTCCATTTGTTTACCATTTTTTTATTTGCTATTTCTTCTCCAAACACGTCTTCGCCAAGTCCATGATGTAAATTTGGACAATTTTTTCGGCCAGGACGTAATCAAGGACGTTTTTGGTTTTGCCATTGTTGCTATACCAGGTGTAACGGTGTCTAATGTTGGCTTCTGCAACAGGATTACAATATGTTTCTATTTTCATTAAATTGTCTATCCTGGGTGATCTTGAAATTCTATTGAAATAACTATGTTGGAAACTGCAGCCAATGGTGGTGTTGAAGTCACCAACCACGACTAGGTTTTTATTTTATGTTGAATGGTATTCACCATCGCCTTGTTGAAGTAACTAGTGAAACTTGAAACAGTTAGACATTGAGATTAGCTGCCATTCCCTAGCCGTCGGCATAGTCGGGATGTTCTACAACTACACCACTCTCCTCTCCACCGTTACAAATGTTCCAGCGCCTGCTTACGTTTACGATGTTGGCCCTTACAATAAAACCTGTACTTAAAGCCATTTTCTAGATATATATCCTGAAAATATATGTTGAGAGCCCTTACCTTTCCATTTGACTTCTTGCGGATCAACTGAGGTGAGACATGTCCTGTAACATTGTGATGTCAGCACCAATTCTGATTGCTGCTTAGAATTTCCAACATTTGAACTTTAGGTTGGTTGTTTGAGCTCTGTTTGGAACTTTGTGGACTTCATTAATACAATACAGAAAAACCGCCGTCTTGCAACGTCTTTTCCGCCGTGAATTATAATCCTTTCGATGCTTGTTTTGTCAATTTATGTCTTTTTATCTGGGCTTTCAATTCCGGGTTCAGGTTTTGTAGAAAGTCAGTTTGATACTGTTATCTAGACATGTTAATGGCATATTGGGGTCGAGGATGCACAACTGTTCCCTTACGTGTTAATTAATTAATGCAATAAACGCATGCTACATGTATGTTGCAATTAAATCGCACAATGGGTGGCAAGCAAACAAAACCTGGCCAGTTACTGATTTGAATTCAAGCCTAGGTTGAATTACTCAGTCACCAAATTCTCTGAACATACGGATTTAATATTAAATTCTCATTTAACTTCATTTATAATGCGGCTGGTGAAAATATTGTTTACAAATGCTTTTCCATATGTATTTATTCGTGTTCCAGGTATTTGTTCAATTTTCGTGGTGTAGCTGCAAGTTTCCGGCTAAAACATCTTTTTCTATGCGAGTCGTTAGTTTTTCATGTCGGGGATGAATGGATGGAGTTCTTCTACCTAGCACTTAAGCCATGGGTGCACTATATACCAGTGGCTCAGGATCTGAAAGAAACAAGGTAAATATGTGCTTTTTCTAATTTGGGGGATTTATATATATATTTTTGGTGTGTGGGCTTGTTTGCATGTGTGCTTTTTTAAAATCTTTTGATTTTTTGTATATTTTTATTTCGTTTTTATGCCCCGCGGCGAAGCCGAAGGGGCATACTGTTTCCGCCTTGTCCTTCCGTAGGTGAGTGAGTATGTGTGCGTGTGTGTGCGTGTACAAACACTGCCTTGTGGGGTACTGGAACAATGGGAGATACCCCACAAGGAATGCCCACCAACTTGCGGGGTACCGTTTTGGTACCTAAATGTGGCGTAAGTCGAACGTCATCGCCCTCCTAAATCTCACTGCAGGCAAAAAGTTATCGTCCCAAATCCCTATGAAATCCCCACATTTAAGATGCTGGAACGTCTCCTCAACCGTCTTGCCCCCTTCATTGAGAAAAACTGATGAAGGAACATGCAGGCAGGCTTCCGTCCCGGCTAATCTACAACTGGACAACTTCAATAAACCTCACTCAGTAAATAAGGGACGGCTTTCCACCAGAAAATCTGCCAACTCCTTCAGAAGATCCTGGATATGACGGCAGACCTGACCCTTACTCAGTTTATTGGTGTTGTATCGAAAAATAGGTAGTATTTATTTCTTTTTTTTTTAGAATTCAATGGCAAAAGAGAAGAGTACATCTGAGAAGAGTACATCTTAAACGGAACGGTCTCCCTTAACCCTAACTCCCTAGACCTTTTTGCTAGGATGTAGCCTCAATCCTGCAAAATCCTCCAATTGGCCTCATGGAAATATAGCATATAGCCTCAATCCTGAAAATTCCTCCTCTATTTCTTGAATATGGTCCATGGAGGGGTGACCACTGCCTGAATCCTGCAAAATCCTCCGGCTATGACTGTCAATAGGCTGAGGCAGAGGCAGTGATATCCTGGAGCAGTGCGGAGGATGTCAAGTATAATCAAGGGCTTAATTTATGCACGGCTGAGCATAAACAACACAAGGTCCGGCGAGGTTTAATTAGAATATCGCGAACAAAGGGCTTGATGGTGGCAGCGAGTAGGTGGGAGTGTCCAACCTTCGAAAACATCATTCTTAAGTGTCACATCCCCGTGCGTTTGGGGAGGGGCACCGCCTAAAGACCCCCCAAAATTGACTTTTAATTAGAATGTCGTGCACAAGCACGATTCCAACGCGAAAAGATAGTATTCGATGAACTTATCAATGACCAATAGTTTAAGAATGAGAAATCCCGTGCATTCCTTGCTTAAGAATGGCCTAATTAGTGCTAATTATTCACCTTTTTACGATATAGAAAAGCCTGCCCAGCACATGAATGGACTGGAAATCATACCCAATCATGACGGATCTTGAATTATTAAATTACGAAGAACCGCATCGAAGGTCTGAATCAAGCACAAGATTAAGGATCTGACGAACACTTTAGCGATCCTAAGGGCCATTATCTCCCCAGATTGATGGTAGTTCTTTTCGGCATAAAAAAAATGAAACAAAATGGTCGGGAGTGATGATTTTCCCATTTAAAACTCCTATCAAATTGGATACACCAACTTTAGAAGCGCAAACTAATACTAAACGAGCATGTTTCCCACTCATCCGAAAACATAGATCCCTGCTGTCCGAATAAAGTCATGTGCATGTTTTACATATTTTTACAGTTGTCCATGGAGAGTGTTTAACTTTTCCAACCAAAGGCGCACATTTTGTACTAAAAAAGTGGGGGGGGAAAAGAATTTCATATTATTATCAGTTCGATACATCCAAGTTCTTTAATTTTGATCAAAATAAACTTGAATGGGCCGGTTATGAATGTGTACCGGTACTTTTTTAGTGGTTGGAGGGGAACACCTATCGTGTATATTTAATGGTTTTAAATAGCTTGGTGAACTAAATAATAAATGACGCAAAAAGTACTTGTTATGGCTGATACATTAACATCAATCAGAACCGCTACAATGCACTGCGAGATACAATTTCTAACTGGTTTCCTTCTTAGTTAGGGCCTTTAAAATCAGGGAATGGAAGTGTTTCAAAGGACACCGTCTGGTGGCGAGTACCGCTAGGAAATTTAAAACTAACACAAAAAGTAATGATTACAATCAAGTTTTGATCATGGCCCACTCATGCATGATCAAAACATGAAAGTGAAAGTGAAAGTGAAAGTGAAAGTGGCCAAATTCCTCGGATTGCACCACTGTACATCTAGAATCCGGTTTTTTTTCTGAGACCCTTCAGCAGGCCTAGGACTCCACGTCGTATTGGCTTCGCAAATAAAAGTTCCACGTTTGGATTTAAAGACCCCCCCCCCCCCCCCTCTGTGATCAGGGAACGGGACCGACACTGCTGACAAGGCAACAGTAGGGACGGGGGCACAGGGAGGAACCGGCATTTAATGAGGGGGCACCGAGGTCGGATCAACATCATTTCCCCTCAATTTCCAGGCCACCACAAGTGCTGCCAATTTGAAAAGCAGGGGATGGGCTGGAACTCTTTAAACGCTTCAAGACGCTCTTTTTTCGTATTAATTTATTCACATTTTATAAAGCTGTGCGGTTAAGGAAAGTCATTATAAGGGAGTAGTCGACTGTATTCCTCTCCGTTTTATCAACTCACAAAAATTCTTTTAGAAGAAACTTCCTTGGCAACCTGGGGGCACCTTGGGCCCTTCGAGAACCAAAAATTACGATTTGCAATGAGAGCCACACTGCACTGAGTGAAATTTGTTTTTGAAAATGCATGCATGCATTATTAAAAGTTTTTTCCGCGAAACCCTTAAACTTTTTTTTGTTTTTGTTGCGACCCGAGAGCTGTTTTGACTTTTTGAGCCTCGAGTCTTGCGCATCTTTTGATACCAAAAAACATACAATTCGGACCAGGGGTTGCTGCGCAACGAAACATTTCCGGCGCGTAAATCTGAATTTCCCATATACGTAGTGCGCACATTTGAATTACCATTTGTGCATATGAATAATTAATTAATCAGGTCAAGGTCACTAAAGGTCAGTGGAAAAAATGGCAACAGCAATTTTCTTGTTCTCAAGACTCATAACAATACACTATAATGGTTGACATCAATTCCCTTTTGTATTTTGTTAGAAGCGTTCAGTTGACCACCTTAGACTCTAAACCACTTTTTTTATATTTCAGTTTCATTATTTAGCCAGACTGCCAAAATGCTCTAATAAAAATCTTGTTGTTTTTCCCCATACAGAACTCTGATAGAGTTTGCAAAGTCAAATGATCAAGTTGCCAAGGATATTGCTAAAAGGTAAATGTACACTTACTTCACCCCGACCCAAAAATTCCATCTTTTGAATATAGACAGAGCTGGATAGGGTTTAATCAAAATCTCGGGAACAAATCCCCTCATTGTGTTAAAGCATCGACCCTGATCACAGAATGGCCAGTCTTAAGTTTCGCTAGATCAGACAAAGGCCCATTGGCCAAACGTGGCAAATTTTGCATTTAATCAAAATTTTGAGAACAAGAACAACACCAGTATCATTTGATAGCTTGGAACTTGTAGATTATGGAAATATAACTTGAGAGCGATTGTAGATCAGACTAATTAACTTAAGAGCGGCCCAAAAAGCGTGGAGGGTGGGCGTGGCCTTCACCCCCTCTTTTTCCTTTTCGCTGCTACTATTGCAGCACAACGGTAGAAGAGAAATTGAAAGCAGTTTGTGTTGATGCCTTGGCACTTGCGGAACATGAAAATATTAATTAAGGTTGCTTTTTAGATCAGGCGGAAAAAAAACAGAAAGGGGCGGGACCTCACCCCCCATGTATATTTTGGCTCCTGTCGTCGCAACGCATTTCTTAAATCCTGCCAAGATTCTTTGACAGTTGTTCAGATGTCTTGCGGTTATTTTAACACCAGGTTTATGAAAATGTGGCATACCTTCGTCACAAAATGTCCATTTCCAACACAGGTATACCAAATTTCAACTTTTCCCATTGAAAAGCACATGCACATGAAAGCGTGCATCGAGTGCCGACTAGACTAACAAATCAAATAGAAGCTGTGCAAATATACTTCAAATTAAAATGGGAAAATGAAACAATTTTTATTGATGCCTTGGCACATGTGGACATAAAGAATATCACTTGAAGAATATAACTTATGTATATAATCCAAAGTCAGACTAGTCAGGGTCGGCTTTAAGACAATCAAGAGATTTGTTCCCGAAATTTTCATTAAACCCTATCCAGCCAGCTCTCAGTCTAATAGTAAATACGGTACCCACTGCTGTATACATCGAACCAGCCAACCGATCTCGTTAGCTCGGTGGTCGAGTGGTAAGACCCACCCGAGTGACTTGTTTTCAAACTTTCATTGGGGAGGTAAAACTATATACTGTGTTAATACGTCGAAAAAGGGCAAAACCTAATCTGATAGACAAAACATAATTACTAATTAGTTATTGACGATCAAGTTGTGTTCACTAATTCAATGTTATATAAATATAACTGGGCTTGATTGGAGTAAGCAGTACTGAGAAATCATCTCAACGTAAAGTGGAGGGAGTTATTCAAAACCAGCCAACACTAGTTATTATTCACAATTTTCTTAAAACCAACCTTGTTACATTTGTTATAATTACACCTCGTAGCTTCATTAGAAAAATGCTTATAATAATTGGTGTGCCATGAAAGCTACCCATAATCCAAATTGTGGGATTCTTCTTTCGTGGTACTTCTGGCATTTTTGCATGTTCAAGATAGCTGCTTCCTGTAATGTGTCAGAACATCGACCTAGAATTTGTGGAGTTCATAAATATGTACTGTTCATGCTCCTTTAAAATGTTATTTAAATTATTTAAAAAGTAAAAGGTTATTTAAATTATTTGTGTTGTTTCAAATAATTTGCGTTCTTTTTTATTATTATGAAACAGAGGGAGGGACTTCATATGGAATCACCTTCAAATGGAGGATATATCTTGTTATTGGAAAAAACTGCTGAAGGAATATTCCAAGCTCATCAAGTATAAAGTGGTAAGAAACAAAGACTTGCATCAGGTACTACCATAGGAAGAGTAAGACAAGAAAAATGTAAACACTTGTCACTCAAAGGTAGAAACATAATTAAGCATCACCTGATTTGTTGAATTGTTTGATCTGCAGTTAGGAAACATGCCCATAAAGTTAAACAAGCTATTTGTATAAAAAAAACGGTTGTTTCAACCGTAGACTGATAAGTGTCGAAGGTGTCTTGGCGGTATCTGCTTGACCATGGATTGAAATTGTGTCTCTAGTAAGACGTCAGTTGTGATTTGGTGGTGTTTTTTTTTCAGGGGGGAGGTGGGTTATATTTTTGTAAATTTGCGTAGCTTGCACCAAAGGTAAGACTTTGTGCATCAAATTT